AAAGACAATTCAATAGAGCAAGGATAATCTTTTCAACAAATGGGTTCTGGAACAACTGGCCATCCACATACAAAAAAAAGAAGTAAGGTCTTTACACCATCCACAAAAGTTACTCAAAATGGATCCAGATATAAATTAAAAACGCAAAACTAAAAAATTCCTAGAAGATAACATAGGAAATTTAAATGACCTTATGCTTGGCTATGACTTTTTATATACAATACCAAAGGCACAATCAGTGAAAAAAAAAAATTGATAAATTGAACTTTATTAAAATTACAGAGTTATGTTACCGAGTCCAAGCTTGCTAAGCTTGCCTCATGACGGGCCAATAAATTGGAGATGAGGTGCTGAGGCAAGGAGTATGACTTTATTTGGAAAGTTGGCAGACTGAGAAGATGGCAGACTAAAGTTTCAAAATAACCATCTTATCAGAGTTTGGATGCCAGTTTTTTTTTATAGCACAGAGAGGGGGAGGAGATGAGGAAGTAAAGAAAAAAGGCCATGCGTTTTGCAAATATCACCTGGAATGGCCAGCCTCGGGGAGGGGATGTGTTAATTTCTTCTTTCTTGTAGCCATCCACAGGTGGACAAGGTCCGGATGTTTCCCTGAACAAAGGCACTTTGGTTTAACATTCAGGCAGAGGGGCAGGGCTCCCCGAGGCAGGCCATTATGTACAGACAGTATCCTTTTAGTGAAAAAAAGCAGTGGAAAGCAAAGGTTAAAGTAAAAGAAACAGATCCAACATGGAGTCAGATTTGGTTCTTTCCTGTTACAGTTATAAATACCTTTACCTTCCTCCTGGACAATATAAGGGACTTGGAATATTAATCACTTTGTCTCATTTCAATTTCTATGACTTTTCTGGTATGCATGTGTAGGGGAGCAGGATTTGCCACCCTAAATTATGTCTCTTTGGTACGTTTTTTTTTTAGCCGGGCCGGGCCAGCATGCTAGTTCAATTCTAGTTCGCTCAGGATTCTAGTTCCCTGCCAGGGATCAAACCTGTGGAAGCATGGAGTCTTAGCCACTGGACCGCCAGGGAAGTCCCAGCATATTGTTTTAAGCTGGTTATTTTCTGAGAAACAGACAGGAGAAGGGCTCTGAAGACAAAGTAGGAGTTGCCTTCGTGTAACAAACATTTCCATTTGTAAGGGAAATCTCCATTCGTGTACCATTCGTGTCTCCCTGGAAGAGAAGGATGAGAGCAAATCTCTAGAAACTCTTATTGGGTGGAGATTTAAATGTGCATCACAATCACCCTTGTTTACTTTGCTATTCCTGGTAACCTCCCGTAACTGACTCTTCCTACTCTCGACATCCTCTTTGGTCTTTTTTTTTTAATGGGATTTTTTTTTAATTAATTTATTTTTGGCTGCATTTGGTCTTCGTTGCTGTTCACAGGCTTCCTCTAGCTGCAGAAAGTGGGGCCTACTCTTCATTCTGGTGGGCAGGCTTCTCATTGCCGTGGCTTCTCTTGTTGCGGAGCTCAGGCTTTAGGCACGTGGGCTTCAGTAGTTGTGTCACGTGGGCTCAGTAGTTGTGGCTCGTGGGCTCTAGAGCTCAGGCTCAGTAGTTGTGGCACACAGGCTTAGTTGCTCTGTGGCATGTGGGAATCTTCCTAGACCAGGGCTCAAACCCATGTCCCCTGCATTGGCAGGCAGATTCTTAACCACTGCACCACCAGGGAAGCCCTCCTCTTTTGTCTTTAGCTGAAGATGTTATTTAAGGTGAGGGTTTCAGCCATTTTGGTGAGTTACTCAATTTTTCTGGGTCTCTCCCACGTATATATGATATTAAGCCTTGTTTGATTTTCTCCTGTTAATCCGTCTCATGTCAATTTAATTCTTAGATGAGTCAGAAGAACCTAAAAGAGTAAAGATAAATTTCTTCCTCCCTGACACATGGTAATCCCATCATTTTATCTCCCTAAGGAAATATTATTCATGTTTCATACAGATAATGAATAGTTGTATTAATCAGATACACTCCTCTCTCAGATCCTCATTCCTAGAAATACAGAGCTTTCACCTGGAATAACTTTTCATTGTTCTTAAATACAATCTTTAGAATTGCATTTTCTTCAGATTAATTTTCCTTCTTTTTTTGGCTTGAAATAATCTTATTTCATAAAAATGGAAAATTCTTGAGAGATGCTTTTACTCTGTATAGAAATCTAGGTTGGTAGTTGTTGTGGTCTGAACATGGGTTGGAAAAGAATTTCCAGACATAAGGCAGAATGTAAAGAAGACAGAATTTATTAGAGGGAAGGGTCGCTGCCAGAACAACAGGCCGACTTCCTAATAGTCTGGGAGAGTCGAGCCCAAACATGTGCTATTGATCAGTTTTTATAGCCAGAAAACAAAGGAATGGTCTGAGGTGAAAATTTCGTTTACTGATTGGTCGAGGCACATATACCTTCCTTCTATAGGGTGGGAGTGGGACAGGGCAGATGCCTTTCCTTATTTGGGACAGGTCCTGCTGCCCAGGTGGGCGTCACCCAGGTGGGCTCAGGAATTTCTAACCAGCACAACATGGTGGGGAGGGCGAGTAAGAGTCCAGTAGGGGGTGTAACGCTGACAGTTTTTCAGGCAGGGTCTTCCTTTGTCCTTGGAGCACCAGAGTAGTAATTCCTTCATTGGTTTGAATAGGTCCTTTCACTGTGTCCCGGAACCACAGCTATGTATTGGGAATGAGAGATGACAGATAACTTATTTTGTTTATAATCTCCTGGTCTTAGGTTAGGTTGGGAGCGTAAATACTAAGACTGAGATTGAACCAGTGACTAGATGGGGTTTGGGTTGTCATATAAAAGAGAGGCTGAGAATATTGACTGGGTAGGAGTAGTAAATGGGTTAACAAATTGTTCTTGAAACTGGTTATATTCTCACCAATCCTTTTTTCTCTTTCTGTTCACCAAGCTTCCCTTACATTTAATTTGTACCATGTAAATGAGCTTGGGGTGTCGACTGAAAAAAATGCACCACTTAAAATTGAAGAATTATGTTATATTTGGGGCATTACCGAGGACTATAACCCGGGAAGGCGGCCTCTCAAGAGAGTTCTGAGGAACTGCTCAGAAGAGGTAATGGAGGAGCCAAGATAGGCACAAATTTTTACTGAAAA